CACAGAAACACACACACTCACACACCGAAATGTCACACACAAACACACACACTCACACACCGAAATGTCACACACAAACACACACACTCACACACCGAAATGTCACACACAAACACACACCGAAATGTCACACACACACACCAAAATGTCACACACAAACACACACACTCACACCCGAAATGTCCAAAAAGCCCGATCACACAACCGTTTATCCAATGCAGGGGTGCAATGATTTCTGGAAGCACAAGCCACAAGGCAGGAGACACACACACACACACACACCAAATCATACAATGAGAAATCAGTCTGTCAATAATACTGTCTAATACTGGCATTATTTTCTAACACCACTGATGTTATTCTTATTAAACAATCCAATAATACAACCTTTCTAACACCTTTGGGGATGTGTGTAAACCTTCTGAAGGGATCCATGTTCAGAAACGGTGGCCGTTCCCTTGATGGAATCCATCTTATCCAAGATGTTTAAGGTCCCTTAATTTCCCGCCAGCGTCAGTATCAATTGGAATCACCCCGATTAACTCTAGTTTCACCCCTGGCTGTCTCAGTTCATTTCAGACCTATTCATGGTCTATTGGGCAGTATTTAGGAATTTCAGGTACTTCATTTCCGGATGCCCCAGCTGAGGAGGCCGTGTCACTCGACGGCCGTCAGCAGCCAAACCCGTACCTGTGAGGTTCCTTGGAGACAGGAACGAAGCGCACACACTCCCGCTTTGTGAAAGTGCTTTCTATCCAGGAATTCAAGGACTGCAACAAAATGGGAGATGATTCAACCTCATTGCAACAGAAACCACAGTCGGTAAACAAACTCTGTGCCCTAGTAGGTCATTTAAGTCACCTTCATCCTGAGGAAAAGTGCAGGAACTGCGCTGTAAGCTAGCGGAGACAGAACATGCCAGAACTCGGCCTAAGACTGTCAGGAATGCGGAGACCTCACACAGAAACGTTACCTGAGGCACATTTGAGCACCCCTGGCGGATACATTTGAAGTGTCCCCACATCCCAACTTTGTACATACATACTGTGGCACACCTGCCCCAGTGCCTTGGTGTTGTGACAACCAGGATAAATATTACTGAGGATGGGTGTGGCTCTAAAACAACGTCGTATTAAACCAGATCAAAGCATATGTTGGCACCATGAACTATTTTTCCTTTGTCGCACGATCATAAATAAATTAATAAATAAACAAGCGCGTGTGTGTTTATATGTGTGTGTGTGTGTTTGTGTATGTTCACGTTGAAACTGCAAAATCAGCAAGTTCTATTGGCTCGTGAATTCGTCTATTTTCAAGAGGGAAAAGTGTATCATTCTTGCTTTCATTGGACGCAAAAATAAAAATAATTACAAAATGTCCCTGCTGACATGGTGAAGTTCCGATTTGGCCCTCCACAGAAAATGCAGTCCTGCATTTAACTGTACTGACACTTGCAACGACATTTAATGTTCAGTGTCCACCACACCCCCACGCACTAAAAAGCAAGAGAACAAATAAAAAATATAAAACTATACGTTGGTACCTGACAAGAACTTATTTAAAGTTTCATTTTCTACTGCAAACTGTCCAAAACATTCCTTATTAATACATAAAAGATTGCACTGTATGATTATTTAGTATGTAGGATATAAGTTATAACAATTTTTAAAGGATTTGTCACAACAGACAGGGGAACAGCGAAATTTACTGCGGGAAAATCGACTTCAATGGACCTGAGCCAACTAATTACTAACTAGGTATATTTAACTTCTATGTCTTTCTAGACAATCACGTCATTTTTAAATGTATTAACTGATAGGCCTAATTAAATGTCTAACTTATGCCTTCGTAACTTAAGATCCATGATCAAATCTGAAAGTCATACGATGAACTGCATTTCACCGTCCTTAAGCCTTCAGCCCACGAAAGCAGCTACGCGGGCGGCTTCTCCTGCACCAGTGGCGTGTTCAGCTCGGTCCCGGGGCAGATCGACGCGCAGACCCTGGGCAGATCGCCGTTCAGACCCTTACCATTCTCTCGGCAGCGGAGTCGGAGGTGCGGAGCCGCCTTGTGGCTTTCAGCCATGTGTGAAGGGGACAGCCAGGGCGACAGGGTGAAGCAGAGCCTTTGACGCGCAAGCGGCAGCCCGCTTCTAAACGCGGCTGTTTTGAGAGCGAGATGGTTCCGTAAGTCACATGAGCGGGGTGGGGATCGAGGCAGATAAAGGGACCCCGCTGCCCCGCGTTATTACAGAGGTGTCCGGCGCGTCACCCAGCTGTGCATTTAAATTAGGCCAAATAGCGAGTATTTCAGGGGAAAAAACATGCCTTTCCTTTAAGTTGCGTGTATTAAAAAAACAAATGTTATTGAACACCGGGCGCAATTACGCGAAGAATAAACGCCGGAGTAGCAATATAGAAAGAGTTAATACAGTTAAAATAGATCCCCGTTTAATCCGTTAATATATTATAGGATAGGCTGCATCCAAAACACACCATGTCTGTAGGACTACTATATATTTTTTAGTCCGTTCGATGAATACGTAAATACAAGGTACTCGTTACAATGCAGCTAAGTAAACATGGGGGGCGGCATATTCACTACGACCAATACCCCGGTAAGTATTGCGTACTTAGCCCAATTTGTAGGGGCGCCAGGGTCTGACCCGCCTCCAAAACTAGAATAAAAAAAAAAACCTCACGATAGCACGCCCGGACGTGCTGACGTGTCACAGTACAAATGCGTGTACAGTCCTGGCCAAAAGTTTTGAGAGTGACACAAGTATTGGTTTTCACGAAGTTTGCCTATACTCCAGAAGAGTATACTGGAGACTTCGCCACTGGAGAAGGAGAAGTTGCTTTCGGAGGATGTTTTGATACCATTCTTTATTAATTAGGCAAATCTGTGAGTGATCCCACTTCCTTGGCTGAGAAGCAACCCCACACATAAATGGTCTCAGGATGCTTCATTGTTGGCATGACACAGGACTGATGGTAGTGCTCACCTTTTCTCCTCCAGACAATCTCCCCCCCCCCCCCGATACCCCAACCAATTGGAAAGGAGATTCAGAGAAAATGACTTTAACACAGTCCTCAGCAGTCCAATACCTTTTGCAGAATATCAGTCTGTCCCTGATGTTTTCCTTGGAGAGAAGTGGCTTCTTTGCTGTCCTTCTTGACACTAGGCCATCCTCCAAAAGTCTTCACCTCACTGTGCGTGCAGATGCACTCACACCTGCCTGCTGCCGTTCCTGAGCGAGCTCTGCACTGGTGGTGCCCCGATCCTGCAGCTGCATCAACTTTAGGAGACGGTCTTGGCACTTGCTGGACTCTCTTGGGCACCCTGAAGCCTTCTTCACAAAAATCAAATCTCTCTCCTTGAAGTTCTTGATCATCCAATAAATGGTTGATTTAGGTGCAATCTTACTAGCTGCAATATCCTTGCCTGTGAAGCCCTTTCTGTGCAAAGCAATTCCTTGCAGGTAACCATGGTTAACAGAGGAAGAACAATGATTTCAAGCACCATCCTCCTTTTAAAGCATCCAGTCTGCTATTCTAACTCAGTCAGCATGACAGAGTGATCTCCAGCCTTGTCCTCATCAACACTCTCACCTGTGTTACTGAGAGAATCACTGAAAGGATGCCAGCAGGTCCTTTTGTGGCAGGGCTGAAATGTTCAAAATGGGTTTTTTGGGATTAAGTTCATTTTCATGACGAAAAGGGACTTTGCGATTAATTGCGATTCACCTGATCACTCTTCATAACATTCTGGAGTGTAGGCAAATCGCCACCATGATTACCGAGGCAGCAGACTTTGGGAAAATCAATATTTGTGTCATTCTCAAAACGTTTGCCCACTGCTGTATATCCCTCCCCCCCCCCAACCCCACTTCTGTATCGGCGAACGCTAGAGAAGGTGGTGAGGGGCTGCGCCGGAACACCCAGCGCCGGAACAGGCAGCGGCCTGCAGGAGCAGCTTCTCATGCGTCACTTAACAGAATCATGGGAACTGCTGTAGGAGGGATGGGGCCTTTATGCAGAATACTGGAGAAAAAACCCACAAATTCCTGTGCAGGGTCAATGTATCTGTCACGTGGCCTAAGAACATTTTCCTGTCGCTCATTGAATGTTACTAATAAGCCATCACTATGGGAACATAGTAAGTACTGAACACTGTTAGTACGTCTTGGTGATTATGTAACAGATTAAAATGTTAATGTAAATTAATCTGTAGGTACAATATGATGCTAAACTTAAGGTAGGTACACAAACCTCTAACGACAAAGAGTTAGAAAAAAAATAACAGCAGTGTGCAGTTTACAAAAACAACCAACAGGTGCATAAAGTGTTTTTTAATCATATTGTCAGTAAAATTAAAATACAGTCCAAGGGATAAGTTTACAGTTGTGTTACCCAACATGCTTTAATAATCTGAATTCTCACAGAAGAAATAATTATATTCACCTGAATTCTCACACCAAAATATTAACCAAAGGAAAATCAGTGGAGTGCAGTATTGAAAAAAATACTGGGCTAGACAAGCAATCATAAAAAGGCATTTTCTGTGTTCATCTGCAAAATGTAAACTTCCAGTTACGTAAAAACTAATGGTTTTGAAAAGGAGGGGAGGAGTTTTTAGAAAACTCAGCATTTTCTTCCAATGCTGTCATGTTCAGATCTTCCATCTGGGGGAGAGAGAGACAGGATTACCAAACAAAACAAAAACACAAACCCACACAACAAAGGGGAAACACGAGACAGAAGTGGGCCTGGGTGGGTTTTAGGATGTCCTGTCAGTTAGGCTTGCTGTGTGTAGTTAGTTTTCTGCAGTGTCTCTAAGAGTGAGAGCTCAGCTCTTGCATGGTTGTTTTTTAAACAGCCTTGGCTTCAACTGGAGTCACTTATCAGCTCATCACGCCACTGCGGGTTGCCCATTTCCTGAAAGACGTCAACGGTGACGAGCACGGCAGTGAGGCACTCCGCATGCAAGTGGCTGGAGAAACTACAAGGAAACACTCTGCCGTTTGCACTGAACCCAGACACCACGGCTGCTTTTACATATTTACATTTTATTTATTAAAACTAATATATTTAGCACACATTTTTTTATCCAAAGTGATGGACGTTTTCTGAGAAAGCGGGGTCAATCCCTGGAGTGATTGGGGTTAAGGGCCTTGCTCAGGTACCCAATGATGAAATCACTCTGCCAACTCAGGGATTTGAACCAGCAAGCTTCCAATCACAGAGACAGCATCCTAACCTACTGAACCACACGCCACCCGCCAGGGAGCTATCAGGAATTTTTGGGTTGCTATTCTCCACCCATTCTATCTAGGATTACCGAGACAGGCCTATAATGCATTAATGAATACTTTGGAGCTTTCACACCAAAATTCCAGAACCTGGTTCCTTGTTCCAAGTTTCTGGGCTGTAATGGCTGGGAACACGTGTAGTTCTGGGACACAATTGTGTTTAGCTTCCACACCGCACAACAGGAACCGGGATCATTATGCTAAATAAGCATGGGAGACACAAAAAGCTTGTAGGTTAAATTTAACACGTAATTTCATAAGAAACTACATCACAAACCCCAAAACAATGGAGGATGAACAAGTCGTTGTTAGTTTCTTGTTATTAGGGGAATCAATCGCGATCAAAGTAGGACAGTCTTTAATTTATATTTTATTTATACGATCTGCAACATGTTTAAAATTAATTATTAATTCTGGCCATAGAATAAAAAATGACAACATAACTGCCTCTGAGAAATCCCTGAGGTGTGAACACGGTTTCCTGGTTTCAGAAAATTGGTTTTAGTTCCTGAAAAAAGTTCCTGTGATGTGACAGATGAGTCTTCCATTACTTCAGGGGAGCTGAGGCACAATGTGGATAGCACAACCTAAACTGTCACAGGGTAACCCATTTTCAGCGCAGCATCTGCATGCAATGCTATACCGTCTGCACTGTTGCTGCGGCAACAGCCAAATCAAAATACTATCAGGAATAGATTTTTTTTTTTTTTTTTTTTATAAATGTACTTAAAAAAAAGTATGAGCGTGAGCTAAAGCAGAAGAATTGAAATAGTTGAGAGGAAGAGCTAAACCAAGACAGAGACTTCATGTCAACTTACAGGAAAGACAATGATTTTTAATCACCCAAAGCAGCTTTCATAATGAATCCACATGTAGTTGTTCTAATTTTGTGGACATTGGAGTAGTGAGATTTTAGACTATAATAACATCTATAGCAACAAGCCAATCAATGCAAGAGTGACCCACTAACTCCATTTAACCATAAGGCCAAACCCCCCCCCCCCCAATGAAGGTATGAAAGTTGCTGAAGGATTTTTTTTTAACCAGTAAGAATGAGACAGGCACACACACATGGAGACAGATGGTCAGATGGTGGTGGATCCAATTATATCAGGATCAATATCTATAGCACACCTGGCAATAATGGGTCCCTTGATGTATCCAACACCTGTTGGAAATGAAGTTACATTATGACAACACAAAACACCAAATACACAAACCTGTCTACATGTCAGAATCCATTACAAATCCTGATCCAAGTTTCCTTTAAAACGGGATCATGTATAATGTACATTTAGAATGGTCTATAACAACAACAGTAATAACATCTTTTATATGACTAATGTTTTGACAGTGTTTCTAAGAACATTTCGGTCTGACTCAAAACTACAGGGCTAATAATTAATTCACTTTTGTAACAAGTTATGACTTTTTTTGTAGCCATTATTCAAACTAAAGGATTACTAAATTTATTCTGTGAACATATTTTATTAATAGACCTATGCAGTTTATTTTTTTTTATTCTCTGTTTTAGATTTTATAGCAAAGACATGTCATGTGATTTGAACTACACAAAGCATTCAGGCTTCACCGAGAGCTTTACTAAAAATGATAAAGAGCTCACTGCAGCTCAGGTGGGATCAGGAGAATAAACGTTCCTTAATAATATGACTCCATCACTTTGAAAAGCTGGCTGAAGTAACAGGCCCCATTGTGATGCATACATGTTTCACCCTTTCCTGTAATCCAATACTGATAACATAAAATAATTCTTCTATTGTAATCTCTTCTTTACAGTTCTGCTTTCTGAATGCACATTACGATTTGAATGCCAAAATCAGTACCCCCCCCCCCCCCAACTCTGAAGTTCTTCCCTTACTTCATATACAGTGCCAGCCCAGAAGCGCTTCATTTCCCCACGTCGCCAGGCGACTGCGCCACTGGTGAGCAGCATGAAAGGCACGAGGCACAGAAGGGCTGACTGGCCCATTTGGGACAGGATCATGACCACAAAAGTCACAACCATGCCCAAGAAGTAGGCTGGGGAGACAGAGCAACACACAAATTATACTCATGTTACCAGCAATTGCCTTTGTTTAGCAGACCTTAGCTAGCAAATATTGCAGACATGTGTAATGCACAAGCCTCCACTGATGTCCATGATATGATATCACGGGCCTGGCGTACTGTACCTATAGTGCAGGACATGAAATAGATCCTCTTGGGGCTGCTGGTCCACACATCAAATCTGTGGCAGTATGCCACCAACAAGCCTGTCTCGACAACCAATGGGAGCATGTCACAACAGCGTCATCAAAGCACGGCAAACATAGGAAGGGGAGAATGGCAATCCAGAGCCAAGCTTAGGGTACAAACTATCAGTATTATTCAGAAGTCTGTGAGCTTCAACCTTAAAGCAATTCCTGTTAATGCAAATGGAGCTTTACTGAAGACATGTCCAGACAAATACCGGCTAGGGCTGAGCAAGTTGCAGTTTTGAACTCTGCAATTGAAGGGATACTTTTCATAGGCGACCCTGGGAAATAGCTCAGAATTGAATTCCTGCTCATGAATAATCATGGGTCTTCACAAGACTGCAACGCTAACCAACACTTCCCCTGCCCCATCAGCAAGGCCGCGGCGTCAGCGTCGGATCACCTGGAACGATAATGTCTCCATATCCCAGTATGGAGAACTGCATCATGCACAGGTTTGGCGCCAAAAACCGCGGCACTCGCATGACCACAGGTATCTGCAAGACAGCACAGGTGTGTGAGAAGGTCCGGAGGAGCAGACGTGTGTGAGGTTCTCTGGCTTAAAGGCAACAGTGTGGTAGAAGGACATCAAGCCATAGAATGGTTAGAAGGACAGAAGCATTGGGAGAAAGAGGTCCCTGTCACCCTGGGAGTGGCATAGCATGCATGAGATTAGACACATGATCACGACAATGTCTCAAAGTGGGTATAAAAGGTGACTTCAAAACACCGTCGGCCTGCGAAGCAATGGATTTTTCCTCTTGCTATAGTTACCTGCTGGCCCTGAAACAAAGTTCACTCAGAAAAGGGTTGTTCTTTTTCCTGTTCTCACTTTCTGTCCACCATTTTCTTTCTGTTGTCGGTCACCCAGACTGAAGTCTCTCAGGCTATATGGTTAAATAGCTCTTTTTGCAAGACTTTAAAGCTGAAGAGCTCTTGTTGCCGCACTGTTGGGTTAGGGTTGCAAAAGGGCGAAAAATCTCTAAATTTCCAGAAACTTTCCATGGGAAGTTAAGCTAGGGAATTTTGGAAATCTTGCATGCCTGTGACCCACATTGACATTTGCTGATGAGATATGCACATTAGCAGAAAAATATTAGCAAGTGCTCTGAGCACAGTGGATAAACATAGACATTCTGACAGCAATCATGTAGAATGTTTATCATTTGTCCAACTTCATCGCTATGGTTGAAAAAGTGAAATTTAAGAAATGAAACTTTTAGTCGGCATTTTTGCCACAAAGAACAAAACAACACTTTAGCATGTGGTTGTGTTTACATATGGCCATGTCCCAGTTATACTGATGGGTGTGTTCCATTTCAACTGTTTTGACGGTGCTTGACATCAAACAGGCATATGCAAACTTTTGTGAATAAATTCTGCAAAAATATCAAGTAAATGACTTTCTACTGAATAAATCTGGTTAACTAAGATTATGCTGGAAGATGTTTTTTCCCCCATCTACATTTAAGTTCCCTGTTATAGGCTGACCAGCAATTTTGCAAATATCCAGCTTATTCCCATATATTTTCTTGAATTCCCATGGAAAATTCCCAGAATTTTGCAACCCTATGAAGGGTTGATGATTGCTTGTTGCTAGGTTCTACGGGTGAAGAGCACTCATTGGTGTGTTTAACATCTAGAGTTATCTGCACAAACTGATTACAACTCCCGATATCCTGCTCCACTTCCTCAATGAAACTACCATCTTCAAGTTCCCTCCCTACTGCATCTAGCCGTTACCATTTCCAGGGATTTATTTAAAGCCAAGCTGCAACTGCCGTAAGGCGGCAGCCTCAAACTACCTGACAGGTCTGCAGTGGAAGCTAATGACAAACGGCAAGCCCACCATTGTGCAACCAGGCCAATGATGTTCCCACACTTTATGCACGAAGAAGTGACAGGTTTTTATCATCAGTGATCTATTGTTATCTAGACTGGTGGTCAGAGGTGGAAAGTTCAGGTCCAGAAACTACAAATCCAGACCAAGATTTAATTTCAACCAACCAGTTGAGTATAAAGAGTTAGTCACAGAGTACTCAACTGGCTGGCTGAAACAAAACCTTGGACTGGATTTGTACATTCTGGACCTGAACTTTCCACCTCTGCTGGTGGTCACCACATTATTTACACATATTCAGCAGGTTAATCATCCATCTTACACAGTGTCCTTTACACCTACTAATTTTCCTTAAAGGAGAAACCTGCTGCAATTACAAAATATATGATACATTTACCAGAATCTTAGAGAAGCAGAATGGATATCCGATTCAGGGAGTCAGCTGCAGGACATTTCAGTTGACACGCAAAGATCCCACACTACTTCAAACTACCTCTTTCCAGCAAATAGTCACATGGGGAAGGATAGCAACGGACAGACAGCACGCCCATGGCTGTGGAGGAGTCTGCCCTGGGGTGATGGCCTAGACTGGTGGCTATTGGCTGCCACTCCCACCCCCAGAGAAGAGAGCTAAAAGCTGGGCCTTACTTTCTCAAAGGGGGCTGTGGGCTCAGCAGGAACCGTCACCATCTTTCCTCCACTCTAGGATCAAACCCAAGTGAGACATGTGAACAAAGCAAAGGCCTGATACAGGGGTTAAGCGTGGTTTGCGCTTGCATTGTCTCTTCAACCAGAGCATGTTTGCCAAGAGGATTAAAAAAATAATAATAATGAAAAAAATAAGACAACTCTGAAATAGTCACCTTTTCTGCAATAGATCCTGGACCCAAGGCAACTTCTACCATGATGCTCTGGCCATCCTACGGCACAGAAAATCGGAAGATGAATAAAATCACAAAGGTGAGAGAAGCACTGCTTCAGGGCTAGCCCACCTAGCCTCCAGGCAATTAGGTGATATTTATTGTTTTACGAAAGCAATTCAGAATGCTTCTTGTGTCTCAGTGGATCGTGGAGGCCACTGCAGGCAACCTAATCTTACAGAAACTAAAAAAGTAGATGTCAGTTTGTGAATAACCAATGTCAATGTGGAAACGATGTGGCCACTCACCTTTGTCAAAAAAGGCGTGATGAAGACGAAGAAGACGTCATAGATGAGGAGCAGACTGAGAAGGATCACACAGATCTAAAAACAGCAACCTGGTAAAGGCTCCAGTAGGCACAGTGGGCTCCTCAAACATTCAGTAATAAGCTTCGAAATGGGAAACCAGACATCCCCATTACAACCAAAACTTACTTTAAAGTTGGACACATTGATCGTCTTCATGAAATTCAGACAGAAAGCAATTCCTAATAAATCTTGCAGAATCCAAATCCATCTGAAACAAAAAGCGTTTCATGGCATGCTTCATTTTCCTCTGCATAAATAATATTCCTAGTCATAAAAGCAAAAAACGTCATGATTAACTTAATTGTGTTGTATGCCTTCCAGGTGACAACCTGACTGCATTTCTAAAACTCAGGCAGGCAGCTTTTCGATGGCCGTCTGCAGGAAGTTAGCCCAAGAGGAACAGCAACACGTTTTCTTTGCCCCGTCGGTACCTGTCCTCGTTCCGATACACTCCCCACAGCACTGCTACGGTGATGCAGAGGGCAGCCAACAACAAGCTCCTCCCAGACCATCCCTTACCCAGACAGGAGAAACTGTGGAAGAAAATTACATGTCCACATCAAAAGGTGGGCAAGTCCAGGTCCAGAGCATTAAAGTCCAGACCAAGATTCTGTTTCAACCAACCAGTTGAGTACTCTGTAACCATGACTCTTTAAACTCAACTGGCTGGTTGAAAAACTTGAAAACTGAAAATCTTGGTCTGGATTTTCACTCTCTGGACCTGAATTACCCACATCTGGTCAACATTGTGAAAATCGTAGAAAGGGAGGTTCATCAAGTGAGGTCAGTCTGCAAAGGAGGAGGAGATTCATCTCTATGCTTTGTCAATTCAGGCTATTTAACATCTAAATAAGGAATCTGAACATGATTTTCACAATGTGGCAGAATGACAGGGATGCTGAGAAACGTTCCAGCAGTAGGGAGGGGTGAGATCCGTCTGCCCAGGTCCTGCATACCTGAGGGTCGCACAGCCAAGCTTCTCCATGATGGCGTCAAGACAGCTGTACAGGGCTGTTG